CTTTCTCCACGCCACGCATCGTCAAGCAGTCAGCTACTTTTCTCACTGATTGATGGCGACGGATTATATTCATCTTATTAATAATTTCGGCCATACACCAATGTGTCTATTTTTTTTCGTTGTCTCAAGCAGGGACCACTCTATCTGTCGTTCTCGTTCGCTTTTTCGTCTTCTAGGGGCCATGCATGATCTTAAACTCCTTTTTTTCTTTTCATTTGTTCTCTTTTTTTCGTGTTCGTACCGACCGTGAAGTTGCCTTGATACCCCGCGTTTGTATCGTTTTCATTATACCCGTCCACATTTTATATCTATTACATTGTCTTGACCTGTTCTACGCAATTACAGTACTATAGAAAATCCTTGGATATATTCTATTTTCACTCAGCCGAGAATGTTATAATGGTTATATACTTGCCTTCGATTTCCTCTAGTACCGGATAATCGGATGATGGAGGGGCAGGGATGGCGGAACAGTTGATACTGCCTGCTGTTTCTTTCCCATGGTAGCATTGGTAGGTACTATAGTAGTTAAGCGTATGTACTACTGTAACTAATAAATGTGTTGCACGTCTGGTGCTAACTCGTAACGTATGTACTTGGTATCAAATTGGGCGTGGGCGCTCCGACGTTCCGTTCCGCGCTCACCTCCGACAACTGAACGTACTGAACGTGCGAGGCCGAAAGACGTGGGTAGAACAAGGAGAGCGAATCTTTTGCATGTGATAGTTGATGTAGTGCGGCCTAGTAGATAACACATCTGCTTACTATGGTCAAAAGTGCCACTGGTACAGTCCGTACTGTGTCATCACGGCCCAAAATGACCGAAATCGGTAGTGGCTGACCTTCAGTTATCGAAACTGGTACTGTATCATGAAACGTGGCTACGCAGTGGTTCTGCATAAATCATGTGAACCTTGAACAACATGCCGCGGCGCTAGCTGGATATAACTGTTGGCTTCAATCTTGCCGTGCAGGGAGATGTAAAGCTAGAAAGAATCAACAAGAGGCGAAGCTATCAAAACTCATATACCTTGGATGTAGAATACTGTATATTTAGATCATGTCGAATAAAGCGGGACGGGGTATAGAGATACCAATCTGGGACAATGTTGTCAACACCTCCGTGTATTTGACTCTGAGTCGTAACTTAGGTACTACTTCTGTCATCTGGGTTGTCACATGTCACCTCTCGATGTCAGTGTCGTCTGACAACCATCACGGTCTGGATATAGGAGATCCAGGGCATCACAGGCACCATTAGAGCATGGAGTTGGCATTCCCATGAAGGACAGGGATCGGGACCCGGGACAACTTAAACTTGTCGGCTTGGCGTCGCTGCCGCACAACTCCAAGCTCGAGAGGGATCACCGGAAATGTATATCGCAGAATGGTGTTATACACACAGTGCTTTTTTTGCAGCCCCTGAATTATTCATCTAGAAAACGCATCAAACTGCATGAACAAAAGAAAAGTTGGGCATGTCATCATTTTTCTGAGCATCATGCATCAGGCCATCAGGCCTCATGGACGATGGACGGAGTGTGATTGCCTCCCGAGTTCTAATTTGGGCTGATGTGATGCGGTCATGATGCATGATGCGCAATTGGCACAGGGCAGTTGACAGGTAAGTAGACGCATATCTGAACCACCTCGGGATATCCGACCGCATTAACACATGCTTCGATTACGCTAGGAGAAATTGATGTCAACTTCTGAGTATGGGATTAGAGTTTCCGCAATGGCGTATGATAGCCGAATTCCGCGGAGCGCGGAAATTTTTCCACGGCAAGTGCTTTTTGTGTAGATGAGTCACTTGCTGTAAAGTCATGTTCGTCCATTGACTAGCATACAGTAACGGAGCATTCACAGACAAATGCAAGATCTCCATCTTGAGATGTAGGAGGTTTGTGACTTGGAGTCTGGTTGACTGAGGGCCAAGGCGGTAAACGGCCCAGTGGGGACAACTGACAGTAGCCATCACTTTTGGACATGACATTGCATGAAATGTTGTGCATGTAATGAACATACGAAGGCCGGTCAGTACCGTCTAAGTCAAGGTGGAAAGTGAACTGCATCCCCATGCCAAAATTGTTTCCATGAACGAGCAGTTTTCTTCGATGGGAAAACGAAGGGCAAGGGGTTTCCCCAATTGTGGGTCGGTAGAGCGGGTTTCATGCGAGGTGCGAGGGACGGCAGGACGCAAACCGGGTATATTGCCTGAGACAAGTTCAACGACGTAAAAGAAGCCATGAACTTGCCCGGTCCTGTTCTTGTCATTGAAAAAGCCTGTAAGGCAGCGGTACTCGATTTAGGCAATACAATTCTCCAATAGATACGCCTACGCCTCCCTTGATGTACTCTCTGACTCTGACCCCGGCTCAGAATCAGTGTCTGGCGGCGGCGGATGATTCGGGTTCGCAACTAGAAGGTCACCATTTTCATGATCCTCTAATATGAACGCTTAGCGATTTGTTTTCAACCATTACTGTAAGGGTCATCCGCACCTCGTGCAGCGGCGTAGCTCTCTTCAAGTTCAGCGAGAATCTTTTCTTGCACCCTTGCAACCCCTGCTGCATCCTCGCAAGTACGGTATCGTTCGAGGAGGTGTCTAGCTCACGGTGACAAGTGAGTCCACGATCGCAAAATGAGATGAACTAGACACACTTGTTCACGGCGTAGAATGAACTGCCCCATCCAAATGGAGCTAATAGTTTTTCTGCCCAGTTGTCATGCCCAGTCAAGTAGAATGCGGCTGCAAGAGCTTCTGCACAGTTCAATCGCCAAGGCTTTCCGTAGTTTGTCGGGTTAGTCGCAACGAGATATGGCACTATATTAGTGGTTCCTTTTTAAGTTAGCAAATGGCAAATCGGTAAATAAATAGGGTGGGAAACGCACGTAAGCGTTCATGAGGCGAAGCAATTTTTGAGAAAGGAATCTCGGATAAGCGCGCCCAGGAGCACTCGACGACAGCAAGGCCACCTTTGTCAATGAATTCTTTATCTGCGGGCGATAAAACCTGGACTGCATTGGGTCTAAACTCAGGTAGATGTCATCGGAGCATGCGCAGGGCAATGCAACGAAGAAAACGGACGAGAGGACTACGCCCCGGAACCGAGAGCCAACCCGTAGCTCGGAAATGAGGTGTTGTCGAGCAAGCCTTTTCCCGGAGCACCGCCGCGGATCACAGTGGTCGAAATCCTACACGGAATATGTATCAAATGCTACGAGTAGTGAGGAAGGTTTTGGGAAAACTACCCACATTGCCACTGGCACTGTGATAATGACATCTGTGGCAAGGGATATAAGAGGAGAGGACAGTTAGAAGAGAAAGGTAGGTGCACTACTTGATTCAGATTCAGGGGGATGTTGCCCTTCGCCCTCCTCATCCATGCCCCCCTCACCAACAGGCAAGGTGCCGTTGAACCCAATGTTCTCCGACCGGGTCAACTCATCATCGGAGTTAGATGCTAGAAGGTTGCGACGGGTTTGAGGGTTTGCTCCTCTTCCCTTCTTTCCGCCGCTGCGTCGCGAGCGCGCGTGCTTGCTCTTGGCCATATTGCCGTGAGGTGTTTAACAATTATTTCGGGGCGTGGCAACCGTCCCTCCGAGGAATTTTCATCGGCTGAGTTTAAAAAGTACATAAAGAGGGCAAAGATGGGCCAAGGTTCACCGTGCGACTTCTTGTTGACTTCCACTACCCCTTCTTCTCTCCTCTCTTTCCCTTACGCTTTCCCTTACGATGCGTGTTGCACTCCTCGCCCTTGCGCTCCTACCCACCGCTGCGTTCGGTGAGCAATGCACGCGATTTGTGACGCAAGCGCGTTTCCCAACATTCTTTTGACAGCCGCCATCACCATTACTGGACCCTCCGAGACACTCTACTGGTGCGTACAGTGCACACAGCCGATAATGCATCACGTCTCACTCATCATGCCGCTCCTGTCAGGGTTCAAAATACGAGCAATAATATTTCATGGACCTATACCCAGGGAGACCCTACCTCAGTGGATATTGTCATCAGCAACAGTAATAATGCGACGTTGAATGGAAATTTCTCTATCGCCCGTTCTGTCCCAGTCTCCCAAGAGGTATGTTTAGCTTTTTGTCCGCTCTCTCAACGTTCTGATCCAATTTCGTAGTCCTTTACTGTGACCGATGTGACACTTCGTGTTGGGACAGGCTATCAGGTCATGTTCCTCGATCCAACAACTGACACACAGTTAATCGCGCAGAGCTCTGCCTTTGAGGTTAAAGCTCCTGGCAGTCAGTATCCCTTTGCTCGGACTCTTGTTCCTAACTTCCAATCTGACATTCTTCCAATGTAGCATCGCCCGCTCCTACCGCCACCCCTTCTACAACTTCACCACAAGGCACTGGCAGCGGCACATCTTCTGGTAACGGTACTGCTAGCGGGTCGGCTGCATCTTCTACTTCTACTTCTTCGAAGAGTAACGCAGCGCTTGAATTGGCATTCGATGCCCGTGGTTTATTCTCCGTTTGCGGTATCGTTACCTTCGGCGCATTATTCCTTTGATCACCGAACCTCTCTTCTGAAGTTATTGTTCATGTAGCACCCCGTCACAAAAGACATTATTCCCACTTCCATCGCTCCTTGTTACCTACCCCCATTTGTTTTACCGAAACCCATTTGAATTTGTCACCAATTACATTTGTATGGAGGACTGTCGAACGATATTCGTCGATGCTGTGTTCCATTTAACTTAGTACATGTTGTTTTGTCCTGTTGCGGTTTCTGTTTACTATCAAGGGGTAACATCGTGGGTTATTACAGCAATAGAACGATAGGCGCTGTCTTTATTTGGTCCGATCATGACATGGCCGATGTGCCGAGTGATGGATCAAGATCTTCGCAGGTAGACTTCTACATGACACGAAATTCGGAGTTAAAAAACACGTCAATCTCATGTCAGAATTGAGGTCAGGCATGGCCACATTGATGAATTAGAATATAAGTGCACTTGAGGTCAGTTGGACCCAAGGGTGGGTAGCTCAGTGGTTAGAGCACCTGGAATATATTTTGGTGGGGGACCTGGGTTCAAATCCCGGCTATTATCATTTTTGTTTCAAGTTGCAAGTTGCGGCCCCCGTTGTACCGCTGTGACCGTCATGTGATCTCCGATCCGTCATTCGGCACATCGGCATGTCATGATCGGACCAAACAAAAACATAAACAAGGCGAAAACGTTATCGTTCTCTTAACGGAGTGTCATTACAATTGGGACTTGGGCAGTACAGTACAGTACTGGCCCACAAGAAAGACGAGTTACCGCCATCACTAAGCTTGTGCGTCCTTCCTATCCCTTTTCCTCTGGATGCAGTATTACGGGAATATAAGGAAAACGTCCGTCTATAGTAAACATGAGAACTCCTTACCAGGCGAGCCGCGTGACTGAGACCCAGGTAAAGCCGGAAAAGTCGCACGCATGTTTCGTCACCTAGGTGTGGAAAATCTGCGCCGAGGCGGTAAGCAGCTGCGAATCCGCTCGTGATTGCAAGCTCATGCATGTTGAAGACTGTAGATGCATCAACCAGGAGCCTTGAACCTCGTCGGGAAATACACACCAGTCCATGCGCCAGCGTAACTATGATAGTAGAATCAGCAAGGCAAAGTAGGATTAAAAGGAGAAGGAATACCAAGTGCCTCGCGTACCGTTGATCGCCCACATCCAGGGGACGACACGCGCATAGTGTTGCCATCTGTGGCTCTGCTGCTTCCACCACTTCTCGCCTACGACTAACTCCTGTTTGATTTCGCCCTTCGTCCAAAGCTCGCCCGACCCCTCTTTGTCAAGAAAGATCGTTTGGTAGACACGAGAAGGTCCAGCAGATGCGGAAAACTGCGGCTGGTATATTGTCAAGTCGAAAGACATCTCCAGCTTCTTGAGGGCAGACGGGTACTGATAGGTGTAGTAGAGCGGACGAAAGTCCGTCTCGCCCCGCTGCCGGTCAGCCGGGGTTGCGCTCGAGGCGATGAGCTCGGGTTTGAATTCGGTCTCGTAGTGCTGTTTGGTCAATGTCGTATCAGAATATGACAGATGAGGGAGGAAAAGAAGGAACCTTGCGCATATAATCCACGTCAGTATGGGTCACGGTCAGGTCGTGAAGGTACTTGACTCCTCCAAGTACGCGCCGTTCCATCCAGCTTGCCTCCTTCCCGAGGATAGTGAGCGCATTATTAGCATCCGTCGCGAGAATAAGAGAATCGAATTCGGCGGTTTGTGGCTCATTTGAGGAAGGTGTGAGAAATTCAAGCACGGTACGTTGCTTGGTGCGCGAAACGACACGAGTAACTATATGGCCGAGTAAGAAAGTAACGTTGCCTGATTCTTCAGTTTGTGTTGCCAGGCCGTATATGTGTCCGAGAGCTGCGAAGTGGTGAAAGTTGTATATAGACTGAATAATTCTGGGAAAACAACCTCAGACCTTCTGGAATGCGTACATCTCGGGAATGCTGGCAAGGAGACTACGCTTGTCATATTCAAATAGGCGCATACTCGGATCCTTGAAAACGCGTTCCTATCGACGCTGCGTTTGCAAAAGGAAGGCAGGGACGCTGGTGGAGCACCTACCAGAATGACGGACGCCACATACGGTGTCTGGTTCCCAGTGCCAAAGAAGAGCGCGGCGAGAGGGTACACCATCCTCTCCCCAAAGTCCTTGGAAAGTCTAAAGAGGCGCAAAAGCGCATATATGGGGAGCAACGCGAGCACAACCTCGAAAAGCTTGACTATGTTGAGGACGCGCCCAAATTTACGGACGTCGGCGGCAAAGCGCTCTGTGAGTGGAGAAGGGAAGACGTTCGTCCAAAAGTGTTCGCCTTTACCAAAACTGATCCTGTCAAGATGAACAGGGGGAGAATGAGGAGACGTAATGAGATATAAGCGTGAATGAGGGTTGGTAGAGAGGGCGTACTGCATATCAACTTTCTGAGGGGATACCCAAGCTCACGGAAGATACGTAACGTGTTGGCAAAGGCAGGCGAGCAGCCCTGGACTCCATCGTTGATGTACGATGCACCACAAATTTTGGGATCGATATTCATAGAGCTCGCCATGCCGCCTGTGACGTGCTCCTTCTCAAAGACAGTGACAGTGTACTTGTCAGGGTGCTTTGAAAAGGCATACGCGGCCGAGAGACCGGCGGCTCCTGCACCGACAATGGCGACACGGTGGGTGTTCATGTTCGTGGTTGGCAAGAGTCGTGTCATTCGATCGAAACAATTGAAAGGGAAAAGTAAGGAATACATATTCACCGATCGAATGGCGCAATCGTCGCATGGGCACACAACAAACAGAACGCAAAGCAGTCACGTACAGATGCAACGCTCAAAATATTATAATCAGTAACCATAACAAGTCCGCATGCGTACGTCCTATCAATCCTCAGTTCAGGGATACTTCAGTGGTCGCGAGATTTCCTAGAAAAGATCCCAGGTAAATAATGGGCAATATAGATTGCCAAAGGCAAAAGTACCTGTAGTTACCCTCAGCAGCAACACTCAGTTCTTCAATCTCACCCTGCACTCCACTTAAGGCCTCAGCGACAAATGCATAATAACGTAGCTGTGAGCGAGAAGACGATTATTTAGGAATCTACCAGGTAGGGTCGACGGGCGCTCACCTGAGCTTTGATAAGTTCATTGAGATTCTTGATGGGTTCGGGCTGCGAGGCAAATCAGCGAAAAAAAAAAGCTGACATCTGGGTCACTTCGTACATTGTCGAGTACGGCCTTCATGAGTGTAATAGCAACCTCGGTCTTCTGCACGAGATCATCCTCGGCGTTCTCGACCTCTAAACGGGCATGCTCCTGCTTGGAGGGACCAGCAGTCTTCAATCTGAAAGGGCGAATGGATGTCACGTAAGTACAAAGCGGGAGGGGGTAAAGGAGGGTGTGGTGGAGGATGTATAAAGTGCGTGGATAACTTACGTTTGCTTGGCAGCGTCCAGCTCGAGGCGTGAAAGGCGGACTGCCTGACGAGCCTTTACGGCAACAGTAATCGAATTCTGGAGGTTCTGCTGCCATGGTGCAAGGAACCCGCTCGCAACAGCGTCATCATGTTGTACGCGAATATCGCCAATCTTCTCCCATGCTCCAGCATACTCGGCCAGCGCAAGTCCAAGGCGGTCGTCTTTTCCACCAGGCGCTTGTGCTAGTGTCAAAGAGGCTGAATGAGCTGCACGGCTCAGTGCATGAGGCAATGTCTTGTGCTGAGGGATGGGAGCTGCAGTCGGGGATGGCGCTGGGAGATTGGTACCCTTGAGGTTGTTGGCAGCGAAGTTGGTCACACCACGGCTGATGTTGGCTCCAAGCTCGGCTACAGACTCTTGAATTTGCGATGGGTAGTCGTACGTCTCAGTTTCAAAAGCCTTCGTGACCCTGTCGGTAGCTGATTTAAGAAACAGCGTAGGAGAGTGATGGATTAAAGTGCTGCGCAGACGCACTTGAGCAAAGCCAGGTGAGCTGTCTTGAGAGCTTCAACTTGCTCTTCGAGATCCTTATACTCTAGAAGCTAAAGGATCAGGAACTTGGGCATCGGAAAGTGTGGATATGTAGACGTACCTTGTGGGAGCTCTGTTATCTCGTCGGGGGCAACTTGGCCCAAGCGCTCCTTGGTTGCTTGGACAGAGGAATTAAAACCTTTGGCGAGCCTATTCGCAGATTCACCGAGGTTGAGACCGGCAAAGCTTGATTGGAGTTTATTCCAGCCTTCCATTGTACGTCGTACTGACCGTCTGGGTCGTCGTCAAGTTAGGTGTTAAGTGAACAGGTGAACCGTGGGTGGCCAAGCAGTCATGAGGGAGTGATTAGCTAAGCATATGCCTGAAGCGACGCGTACGTGCGCGTCGACGCTCAAATCCGAATATTCTTTTGCCTTTGGAACTCCCATGTCTGCTGCTGCCCACCTTCCACGATCTGGGTTTGACTTTTCAAACGCGAATCGGTGTGTCGCTTTAGATTTATTTCTTAACGAATTTACTTTAAGACCCCCGATAGCAATGCTTTCCTTGAAAGCAAAGGCGTGAAGATGCCAAATGCCACAAGCACCGGTACAACTATCGTCGGCTGCCTTTTCAAAGATGGGATCGTACTCGGTGCGGACACACGTGCAACTGCAGGCCCTATTGTCGCGGATAAGAACTGCGAAAAGGTGCGGGAGGCCAGGCAGTGCGATTTTCCTAAGCATAGCTAATAGGTGACGCACAATATAGATTCATTATATTAGCGAGTCCATCAGATGCTGTGGCGCTGGCACGGCAGCGGATACAGAGTTTGTCACTGCGCTCATCTCGAGCAATATTGAATTGCATACCCTCTCAACTGGCCGCAAACCCCGTGTTGTCACCGCAATGACCATGCTCAAGCAACGGCTCTTCCAGTGCGTCCTCGGACAAATTTGAAATGCGTGCACTGATAGTGTATTTGGTGGGCCTTGCTACAGGTACCAAGGTCACATAGGTGCCGCACTTGTACTCGGAGGCGTTGATGCTACTGGCGCCCACTTGTTCACCATCCACCCTCACGGCTCAACAGACAAGTTGCCCTACGTTACGATGGGTTCTGGTTCGCTGGCCGCGATGGCTGTCTTCGAGTCGGGATGGAGGCCAGACCTAGAAGTACGTGGTCTACTGGATGAATTCCTGTTACTCAACACGTTCCCAGCGTGACCAAGCCCTGCAATTGGTCGTAGCAGCTATCTCTGCCGGTATTTTCAACGATCTCGGTTCGGGCTCAAACGTAGATGCGTGTGTTATCACTGCAACGCATACTGAGATGCTGCGCAACTATGTCATGCCCAACGTTCGTGTTGAAAAGGAGCGCAAGTATGGTTTCCGTCGCGGCACGACGGCATGGACGCGGGAGAATGTTCGTGATTTGGTTGTGAGCGAGGAGAGCCGGCCGATAGGCACGGCTGCTGGCATCGAGGCAATGGACATTAGTTGAGCACCTGCGTTAAACTGTAGTCAGGAAGGATGTGTAGGAGATATCCCAGTTGAAAATTGTGCATTCATCTCCATCTTCAATATCTACGAGTACATACATGATCCCGAGTTTT